CTTCTACCCCGCTAGCCCCGCCGAGCCGGGCTTAGTGCAGCTCCATTGTCAGGCGGAGGCGCAAACTCGCCCTCCCCCGTCGCATGCACACGCCACACACACACACATACGGGCACACGCCACAACCGCCTGGCCACGGGAAGAAGTGCAAGCGAGGGAAAAGGCGTGTCTCGCTTGTTTTGATTCCACAGCAGAGGCGGCGGCGGCTCCTTCCTCCTCCTCCTCCTCCTCCCTGGCGGCTCCTTCCTCCTACTCCTACTCCTCCCTCCGCTCCTCTCCCGTCCCCTCCCTAGCCGCCGCTTCCTCCTCCTCCTCCTCGTTCTCGCCTCGCATTCTCTTGGCGACAGGGGAAGGCAGAGAGCAAGGGCGGAGGAAAGGCGCGGCTGAGAGGCTGGCCTAGCAACAGGGAGGTGCTTAGGCTTTATGTGGGACCGCAGAAAGCGCTTCTTTTCGTAGCCGGGTGATGATGAAGGTTATTTTGGTGGAAGGCCCGCTACTAGGCATCCCCACCCCCTCGCGTGCTGGTTAAGCCTGGGATCACGAGCGTGGGCAGCAGCAGCAGCCTCGGCGGCTCCTCCTCGGGAAACGGCTCCACGGTTGGTCGGAGTTTGGGTAGGGTAGGCGCGAAGAAATTGAGGATGCGCCGTGATCACCGCGAGATAGGGAGGTGTGGAAATGGATGCTTACCATTTAGCGAGTGACCAGAAGTTTGACAGGTACGTGGGGATTTTTTTCCGTCCAGAGGTTTTGCTGTTTGCATCCATTTATTGGGAAACGGTCAGTGAGACCGTCTACTTTATGCTTTGTCTGAGTCATACCTAAAGTTGTTTGCATTTTTTTAAAAATAAAAAACTTGAAACACTTCTGTCAGCACCTTCTGTCAGCCCTTGTTAGGCTATTGAGCTCACAAGGTCTTGTCTGCATTTGCTGAGGTTGGAATCTTGAACCATATGGGAGAGTTCAGGAGGCAGAAAGGGAGTGCTTTGTTATGCAGAAGCCCCATCTATTGTACCGCAGAGAATACGTCTGGAACAACCCTTAGGGAAGGATAAAATATTTTAAAATAAAAGGGAACTGATGGTTGTTGTGGGTTTTTCGAGCTCTGTGGCTGTGTTGTTCTTCCTGACGTTTTGCCAGTCTCCGTGGCTGGCATCTTCAGGAGCAGGAACTCAGTCCATGCTCTGTTACTGTTTGTTGGATAGTTGAGTATTTATAGCTGTGGGAACAGCTTTTGTCCTTTTCAGGAGATAGGGTGATCAGCCTGTTTTTGTTGTGGATGTATTGTTGTGATAAGTGGGAGAGATTATTACAACAATACATCCACAACAAAAACACCCTGACCACGCTATCTCCTGAAAAGGACAAAAGCTGTTCCCACAGCTATAAATACTCAACTATCCGACAAACAGCAACAGAGCATGGACTGAGTTCCTGCTCCAGTCCTCTGAAGATGCCGGCCACAGAGACTGGCAAAACGTCAGGAAGAACAACCTTCAGAACACGGCCAAAGAGCCCGAAAAACCCACAACAACCATCAGATCCCGGCCATGAAAGCCTTCGAGAATACATTAAAAGGGAACTGTTGCTGGTCCTTAATGCTGCTCTGTTGTAATTGTGAATTGTCCTACAGACTTCTTATATATCCCAAATACAGTATTTTGATTTAATTATTAATGATGGAATCTGTCCCTGTTCTTGAGGAAAGTCTACTAGACATCCGTTTTTCTGATAGATTAGTAGGGCTTGAATACTCCTCCATTTAATATTGTTCTCATACTGCAAAAGGCAGTTGTTGTGTTCCCATAACATAGCAAATCAGCGAGCCATTGAAAACCTGGCTGGTCATAAACAAGTGGCTTAGTGGTGCCCTGGAACATGCCACTCAATTGCTTCTATTTGCAGCAGGAGCAGGTAAACATAACATGGAGCCACACTTTTCAGTGATGACACACTGAGGTTCCCATGGGCCCCTACCTACCTTGACATGTACAAACACTGTTAATGTGAAGGTCATGCTGGTCCCCTCTTTACTCTCCTTCCATTGGCAGGCAAAGACTTTTCTCTTCAGGTAGACTTTTTCTCATTAATGTTCTGCCTAAGATGGAGGGTACTGTTCCCCCTTTCCCATTTTTTATTGTTTCTTTTAATTTTGTAAGTCATCTTAGGTCCTCTTGAGGAGGAACTATGAGGACAGCTATTTTAAATATAGTAAATATGACAAGAACAGAATCATGGAACGTAATGCTATGAGGAAATGTTTGTGACAACAACAAAAAAGCCATTTCCAAGAAAGATCAGATGCCAGCAGTCTATGGTTTCCCTCTGGGGCGCTTTTCCTGCACTAATTCTCCATAAAGGAGATCTTTTGGAATCCGACCATCAGCCTTTCTCACTACATGCCCAAGCCAACATAGATGTCACTGTTTCAGTACTGTATACATGCTAAAAATTCTAGCTCGTTCTATGACTACTTTATTTGGAACTTTGTCCTGCCAGGTTATACAGCAGTATCATTAAAAAGGAGAGGCCAGGAAGGTTTTAATTGGTGTAAATTAAATGTATTTGTTGCTTGAGTTCTCCAGTACAACTCAAGCAACAAATATATTTAATTTACACCAATGAAAACCTTCCTGGCCTCCCCTCTTTTAAGGTTCTGAGGCTGTGTTTTGCCCTGGGGAAGGAGCCTTGAAGTAGGTGCTATAAAAATAACAAATCCCTGCTGGATTGCTGGGATTGGGACCGCTGCTGCTAATCCAACAGGGATTTAAAAATTTTTTTAAAGCAACCCCTCCCACATCAGGAGGCTGCCAAAGATTTTCCCAGAGCAAAAGGAATCCCAAGAGAGTCTTAGAACCTAAAGGGGGGTGGGTTGGGGATAGGACACTTTGAATTAGTGTAAATTAAAAGCTTCTGGCTCCTGATCCAAGTTGCTTAGGGTGCAAAGTTAAGCACACAGAATCCAAAATCAGGTTTGGGTAATACTTCCTTGCTCATTTGAGCTCAACCTATTCATCTACCCAGAAGGGAAGGGAGGTCATGAAAGATACTGCTGCATCCTTGTCACTATTTCCATGGATGGAGAGGGCAACTCAAAAGGCAGGGACAGTAACAAAGTAATTAATTCCAAGGCTGGCAGATCAGCCCCCTACTGGCAGCCTGACATAAGGAACATCCAGATTTGAACTAGGGACTGCATGTTCCAGTGCTTGACCAATTCCACCCCATCCTTTAACTGCACATTGTTGTATTGCTGTATGTAAATATAGCATGTGTCTCATGCAGACAAGCTTCTGTCACTTCTTGGAACCATTAGAATAAACGTGTGGGGAAGGAAGAAGGATTGTTCCCCAGTTGACAGAAGCAGGATATTCATTCAAACTCATTTTTATCTGTCTGGAAGAAAGTGTGATGTGGAATTAATTCAAGAACTGCCCCCACCCAAAAAGGCTAGAGACTTCTGTCAGGCATGATTGTCCCGTTCCTGCATGTCCCTTGCTTGTTTCACCACGCTACATGTCGTTCAGCTGCCACCAGTTGATTACATCAACTTTGTTCACTATTAATGACAGAGGTCCAGGCGACATATCATTTAAAAATCAATTAGAAATTGTTTATTGTTACAAGTGATAGAAGTCTGGTTAATGTTGTTAACTCTCAACTAAAACCTTCCTTTCTTCTAAACTCTGCCCTCTCTTTTCCCTTTTCTTTTTCCCCTCACTTAACTCCACCCCCATCAACCCCTATTGGTGCATGCAAATCTCAACATAAATATTCATGAGCAGGGTGAACACTAGAATGATGTAGTTGTGGATTTCCTGCATCCGCAATGGTTAGACTAGATGACATGTTCAGGCCCCTTCCAACTAACAATTACAGTATATGATTTTCAGTGAAGTGACATCCCACTCCATTTCAATCACTACTTTGCTAGTTTTGTATGAAATTCATGAAAAAGCCCTATTGACACACTCAGTTTTGATAGGCTATAGATGATCTCTTTGGTCCCTCCAACTCCTATGTTATCAGGAGAAAAAACAAAATGACCAAACTGGCTGAACAATTTTTGCCTGGCATATCTCACTATGTATATAGAGATTAGCTGGTAGCTGTTCCTATCAATGGTCACCAATTACCTGGGATGTGGCTTCTCCATTTCTTCCTAAAGAGAAGTGAGAATTAATGGAAGTTTATGTGTAAGCAGAAATAGGAGGTTGGAATGGTAGTTTTATGGGATACTGATTCAGGTTAAACAACCAGCCAGAAGGCCAAATTATTCCTTTCAAGAATCTGAAGGGATTTCTAGACCCCTAAGAGATCTGACGAGGGTGTTGTGGACTGTGAACCTTTACCTATGCTCAGTGTGTACATTTGGAAAAAATATCTCAAATTCTGCAATATATGACAGTCCTGTGATTTCCTGACAAAGGAAACCAAACCTAAATAAGCACTGGAACTCTTGAAATTAATTAATTCTTATAATTGTATTTTATATAAGTTATATTGATGTGTTAATGTGTTTTTATCTATGTAAGCTGCCCCGAGTAGACGTTGTCTAGAGGGGCGGGGGAAAAAATCTAATAAATAAATAAATAAATAAAAACCGGATTTTTCGCTCCATAAAACGCACCTCTCCATAAGACGCACCAATTTTTTTAGGAGAAGAAAACAGGAAAATATAATCTGTTTTCTTCGCTCCATAAGACGCACAGGCTTTCCACCCCCCTGTTTTGTGGGGAAAAGTGTGTCTTATGGTGCGAAAAATACAGTAAATACATTGAGCCCTCCCACTGCTGGGAGAAATACTTTTGTGATCCTCTCTGGCTGTATGAGTGAAGTTTTGGCTGCGATTGCTTGGTTCCAAATGTGTATGTCCACAAGAACTTTTGCTACAGATGCTGATAGAACGTACTCATTCTAAGCCATGTTGTGATTTCTTCTACACAGTATTGGAGGAGGTATGGTCCTTCAGACATATATTTATTCATTATATTTATATCCCATCTTTCCTTCAATGAACCCAAGACTGTATAAATAGCTCCTTATGTCCCTCTCCTCCCATTAATCTCATGACAACCCTGTGAAGTAGGGCAGGCTCAAAGAGTGTGTGTGATGGGTCCAAGGTCACCCACTGTGTTTCATGGCCAAGTGTGGATAAAACTGGATTATCCGCCAACACTCTGACCACTACGTTACACTGGCTCTTGGCCTGATCATTGGATTCCGAATCCCAATACTCTCATCCCTCAAAATCAGCAGTCAAGAATTGTGGGAGTTGTAATCTACCACCATCTGGAAAACCCATTAGGTTTTCCTCTTCCTCTTATACCACTTTTGAAAGAGGTTGGTAAAAGTAAAAAGCCACAAAGAGAGACTGTTATTTGAACTGGGTAGTACTCAAATTCAGAACAGCAGAATTATGCTGTCTTGTGCAAATAGTAATGGCTGTTTCACAGAGGAATAGATTATCTCAGAAAGTGGTGGACTTTGCTTCATTGGAGGGTCCCCTAAGAGGAAAACAGCAGCATATAAATAATCTAAATAAATAATTCTTGAAACAGAGGTTGGATAAACATTTACTAAGGATGCTTTAGGAGCCTCATGGTGCAGTGGTTAAACTGCAGTACAACAGTCAAACCTCTGCTCATGTCTTAAGGTTGATCCCTGTGGGCTCAGATAACTGGCACAAGGTTAACTCAGCCATCCATCCATCTGAAGTCAGTAAATCTGAAGTCACCTCAGCTTGCAGGGGTGGTGGAGGAATGTCTAGTCTGCACAGTTAAACTGTAAACTGGCCAGAGAATGCTTTAAGCAGAACACATTTAGTTGCAACTTTCTTTCTTTGGTACAGAATTGGACTCTGATTCTGGTGATCCCTTCCAGCTCTACACTTTATTGTGTCCCATTGGCAAAATGGCATAACATAAAGGTTTCTATTGTGTTCCTTTGACTTATTATTTTGAGCCTTTTTTTCAATTCACAGACAACATAGTTGGAAAAGAAGATAATTTGTTGTAGGTTTGTTAAGGCAGAAGTTTTGAGAAAGTCCTTACATTTTACATGTGGGCCCCCAGCTATGAAATCATATCCGCTACATAGTTGTTTCCCCTAATTATTTTATAATCATATAGACACACCATTTCTAAAAGTCCAAATCCTTTCTGCAAGAAGTTTTTCACAATTATAATTTGGACTAGTTCTCATGATTGCTGGTATTAGATCTAAACTTCTCCTGGAGAAATATGTCAGTAAGTCAGAATATATATGGCAAATACCAAATGTCTAAGGACTATGAGTTATGTTATATTTTAAATATGTTTATAAACAGAAAACATTATTTAATGTTTTAACCAAAAGCACAAGTGATTATTTACTATTAATTGCTAGCACTAACACACATAAAGGAGAGCATCCCATTTTAATCTACAGAGTCGTTTTTTATCAATATGCTTCAAGCTGCTATATGCAGACACTGCAAGTTAGAAGTTTTATATTATTTATTATAGCCAAAAGCCAACAGTTCCTTTGAGTATTCCTTCTATTTCTTATTAAATATACTATTATTAGCAGCATATTAAAAATTGACTTTCAAAAACTGGAAAAGTTTGCTTTTTTTCCTTGCTTGCTTGTTTATTAAATTTATATCCCACATTTCCACTAAAAAGCAGCACAAGACAGCTTCCAAGCTTCATAAAAGAACAAAAAGAAAAAAAACCAAATCAACTAGAACTAGCTCCACCCTAAAAACCATTAATGTCAAGTAATGCATTAAAACTATTACAATTAAAAGGTGCCATTAAAAACAACAGAGCAAGGTGGGTTAAATATCACCTGCCTTTCTGAAAACATATGTTTTTACTCCCTTCTTAAAATCACTCAGAGTGGAAACAGATCATAGCTCTGAAGGGAGTTGCAACTGACAAACAATTTCACCACTAGACGTGCTAGCTGGAATTTCTGGGGGTTGTAGTCTAAGAACACCTGGGTTACCCATGGTTGGGAATCATTGGTATGTAGAGGTTAGAGTGATGAATTGAGATGCAGGAGATATAGCTTAAAGTGTCCACTGACCCATGGAACTCACTTAGTGCCCTTAGGCTAGTTGCTACCTCTCAGCCAAACTTACTTCACATGGTTTTTAAGAGGAAGAAATGACCTGCAAAAAGCTATATACAGTACGTAGCCTTGAATGCATTGGAGGAAAGACAGTATATAAATGTAAATAAAATAATCTCATTTCTTTGCCTGCAATTCATAACATGGGGAGGAATTTTGTTGCAGAAGAGAATGTGCCAGTGACTTGACCACTGATATCCAATTCCTTCATATTAATGCTTGCATGGGAAGTTTACATGGTCCTCCATCCAGTTTCTGAAACTGAGCCAAAGGGGGATTTATAGGACAGCATGGGCAGGTGTGGAAGGGGTATTGTTAGCTAGCCAGTGTTATCCTATAAATGCTTCCCACTGCTGCATTCCTATTACATAAGCAGAGTAGGGGAGAATAAGCAGTGGAGAAAAATATGACTACAGTATTGAAGTCGTCCACATCAAGAAGGAGGCTGGCTGAGAAAAGAAAAAGACAAAACACTTCTCAAGATTTTCTGGCTGAGTCAGCAGCATTCCAGACATTCAGGCTATAGAAAGCAAGACACTGCCACATGTAGTTGTAATTAAATCAGGGAAAGGCATATGAAACTTGTTAACATTTGAAGCTGCGACAAGATGAGGGGAGGGGCAGGTTTGGCTTCATTTATTACACAGAGATTATGGTGGTGGGCACAGAAGAGATGCTTTGAGCTGGGTCCTCCCTTATGTTGTAGTTCAGATGCCAGCTGGAGGATTATGGGAGTCAGAGTCCAGAAAACAATTTATGATTTCCCACCAGCATTTTGCAAGATAAACGATTAACCATTAATCACCATTTAAAATACACCTAGAGTTTCAGGCTAGCATGAGGCTTTCCATTGTTTGAAAGAAATTTGCTGAGATTCCAGCAATACCTTCAAAAGCGTTTTCAAATCACAGGTGAGGTTGTACAATTCTGCATGATAATATCTTAAATATTTGCTAGTTTCAAGGCTGCTACATAATGCAATATTTCACTTCTGTACCCCTAAGGTTCTATATGATATTTACTAAAAAACAGCTTGCTGTACCCAGTTAAAGCACGTTTGTTGTAGCAAAAGCAACAGAGTTCTGTGGCACCTTAAAATATAAGCAATGTTGTTTGGTTTATATTTTCATGAACTGCAGGTCACTTTTTCCAGTGCATCTGGAAACAAGCAAGCTATGGCCCAGAGAAGCTTATGTCAAGTAAAACAGGGTAATCTTTAAGGTGTCATTCAAATAAAACTGGGGATATCTCTGGACATGTTGTTGTGTAAGTGTTTTATTCTTACTTATTTCCCCTCCAGCTCCTTTGCTTTTCTCCTTTTCTTCTTGTGGGTTTTTTCGAGCTTGTTTAGATACGATCATGTCAGTCTTTCATTGAATTTGCCTGATCCATCAAGCCAGCCACTGATAACCTAAAAGTGCTAAATAAGTGCTAAAGATTGGGAAGGATAGCCCACTTGCTAGAACAAGTTCAGTTCCAGACATTTCCAGTGCAAAAAGGGTCAGGAAGAAAGCGGTGTGAAAGACTTCTGCCTGAGACCCTGAAGCGCTGCTGCCGCCAGTCAGAGCATACAACATTGACAAAAATAAAACAAAAATAATCTTAACTGGTAGAGGGTGATTCCCACATTTCTCTCTGTGCAGGGAAACTGTAGCCCTCTAGCAAGACTCGAACTCCATCAGGTTGACCTTCTTGACTTGAGCTGATGAGAACTGGAGTCAGTATCTGGAAAGCCACAGGATCCTGACAACTGGTCGATATAGCTTTGCCTAGCTTAGAATGCTGCATAATAAGGGCTTGCAAGATTTAGTCAACTTAGTTCAGATAATACTGAAGTCTACTGTAACTGAAACACCTTTAAATGCTTAACTGAATTTCCAGTACTGGTGTTCAGCACCCCAAAGATCAAAAAAGCACCTGACTGCTGTTGAGTCTTGCTGAGTATTTACAGATGCTCAAAATTGTACCTTCTATTGGTCCAATAATGCTTTATCTGTCTTCTAAAATATATTTAATGAAAAAGTAATGGTTTTAGCACTTATGTGTTATCTTAAACCTCTCCTTTGTTTAGCAAGTACTTTAGCTGTCTTTTCTGGACCCCTTGTCAAATTTTAACAAACAACCAGTTGGACATTGGCAGAATTGAAAGGCAAAAGGAAAACATGAAACTAATAGAATGATTGTACCTTCTATTGTACCTGGATAGATATCGGGGCAGGAGTTCAATTCTGGACTGCGCCTTCCATGAGAAGAGTCAGCCTGTGTGGCCTTGGGCAAGCTACACAGTCCCAGGTTGCCCCCAGAAGAATGGTAAACCACTTCTGAGCGCTTTCTACCTAGAAAACCCTGAAAAGGGTTACCATACGTCAGAAATGACTTGACAGCATGTGGTTATTATTAATAGAACCATCAGTGCATGTTTGAACTCTGCAGCAGTAATGATGACCACAGCCTTACAAATAAGCAACAAAATTAATAATTATATTGTATTGCCACTTCAGCTTATATTCTCTGTTTCATAAATATTTCTTAAGACACAAATATTTTGCTGGTTAACTGAAGGAGTGACACTCGTGAGGATGAAGAGCACTTCAGTAATCCTGTGAAGAGACCTGAAGGATAAACAGGACATGTTTGCAGAATGTTTCTTGGCTAATTCCACCAATAGAGCACTTCAAGCTGCCTCTTAACATTAAAAAAATTCTTCAATTTCCCTCACGGTAATTCATGTCCTACATTAAAAGACCTCACTGCTCACTCACTTGCTCTTTGATAATACTGTACATTTGTTGATATAAGCCTCATGTTAGAGAGTTTCTCTCACAATACGGTATTTTACTTTCTCAAACAGCATTGTCACACTGACCAAGCAAAAGAGGACATATGCGTGGGTTGCTCACTTCCTGGAAAAATACCACAGCCACATTAGACTTTTCATTGTTTTATTATGGAAATGGAATCTCTGGTAAAAGCCAGTGAGGATAATCTTCCCACAATCATCTAACATGTAATCATTCTCATAACATCTTGTTTTTCTCACTCTGATAAGCCTAAAATCTTTATATCCCTCAATTGCTAAAGTCCAGAAAATGTTTCTGAAGTATTATGCATGAAAATTCTATTAAACAGGAAGTTTCAAATTTACTTTCACTGTTTTATTACCTCATTGTGCCCAAATTGATACCAGCAGAGAAATGGAAGCACACAATAAATGTGCGTGCAGACAGTCACAGAGTCATCTGGTTCTGATAGCTTTTTAACAAATTTGAAATTACAAGCAATATTAAATTATTAGGAAAATACCCTTTTCAACTATTAAAATTATTCAAACCACTTAAAATTTAATGCTTGAAGCCAAAAAGTGGGATATCAGATGATTTTATCTAATAATAATAATTTCCAGTGATAAATTCACAAAATAATTTTTAAAAGACCTCAAAGAAAAACATTGAATTTCTGTTATAAAGATATATAGGAAAATACATCATCATGCAAACATGACATGAGAAAAATTCTGTATATTCATTTACCTGAAAAAATAAACATGCCATGTAGCTGAGCTAGTCCTGGAGTAACAAAATATCAACATTGTCATGAACTCCCTGTAGCAGCAGTTCCCCAGGATAACTAACAATCTTCCTTCGTTTTGCAGCTTTCAAAGTCCCCACTAAAGCTTCAAAGAGGTTGGCACATTTTTCATCGGCAAACAGCACTCCAAATTTCACACTCAGAGTCCCATCAGGATCTAGATGAAAGGAGGCATTACAGTGTAAAAACATTCAACTCTTCTATTCCAACTGGCATTTGGTAATATTTGCTTTCCCTTTCATTTTTATTCCAATAGTAATGGCAGATTATACTTCAGCAAAACACCCATCATTCTCTGTGATGAAACATACTGTATTAATAGAATGTTCTCTATCTTATGATAATTTTTCATTATTATTATAGCTTCCTATGAACATTGTGAATAAATTACAGTACATTACTATTGTGTGTATCCTTTGTATAAATAATACACTATCTAGACAATAGTTTGATTTCATGTTATTACTGCAGATTTGGTTAGATACATTTTTTGGTTTACATCATAAAGCAATTTTTCATTTTTTTTAGCAAAGAAGAAAAGTGGAGATTTGTACTGTTTGCAGTTTGCCAATTTCAGTTTTAATCAACTGAACTTCTGTTATTTTGGTTTTTTCCATTTTGTGTTAACTAATTTTGCTCACATATTTGCATGTTTGCAAACCACACCATGTGAACTATTTTCACTGGAAAATATTATAACTAAATTGTAACTAAATAAATATATTTTTCACCCAAGAAAAATGGTAGCTACTAATATTTAAAAAGGGTAACTGGTGTGGTATATTGAACAGAGTTATTGATTAGGACTCAGGAGACTTGGGTTCAAATGTCTGCTTGGCCATGGAAACCAATTGGTAGTTGGCACTGGTAAAATCAATCCTTAAATATCCCACTTAACTTGAAAGTTCCCTCTGTATTTTCATCCCATCCAGCACAGGCTGCATCTCCATTCCTTGTAATGCCTTTTGATGGACCACAATCACTTTAGTCTTGTCAGAATTAAATTTCAGTTTATTCACCCTCATCCGTCCATTTCTGACACCAGACACTGATCTAGAACTGAAACAGCTTCCTCAGACCTGATGAATTTTACACAAGCTACAACTTTCTGATCAAGACTCCCTTATACATGCTCTGCAGCAAAATTTTGTGCAGCAACAATGGTACAGTGCTCCCTGATAGTCTCTTGAGGTCACAGGTTGACTGGTTTTAGCATGAGGGTGGTTTATTGTTGAGCACAGAGAAATATTGTGATCCCAACCGAAGGAGCGAAATGTTTGCAAATGTTTACAAATATGTAGGAAAGACTCACGAAATGTTTACAAATGTTTACAAATATGTAGGAAAGACTCCCTATACCCCAAAGACCCTGTCCAAACCAGTTTGCCCTAGATGATCCAATGGTTCAAAGGAGAGCTATTAAAATGCTTTAACTGATTCTCCGTATATATTATTTATCTGTTGTACACTTTTTAAATTGCATTTTGTATATTTTAGCCATATAATATGTTTTATGAGCTGGTTACCCGACTGTAATAAATAAATTCATTCAGATTTATATGGAAAGGAGAGATAGAGATGGGTGTCATCTGCATACTGATGACATAGCTCCAATTGCATCTGTGCTTTTAATCTGCTACAAGGGATTCAGGGACTAGTCATTTTTTTGCATAGAATCTTTACGGAGTCTAATGGGCATAGAGACTCGGCGTCTAGTTGTTTAGTCGTGTCCGACTCTTTGTGACCCCATGGACCAGAGCACGCCAGGCCCTCCTATCTTCCACTGCCTCCCGGAGTTGTGTCAAATTCATGTTGGTTGCTTCGATGACACTGTCCAACCATCTCATCCTCTCTCGTGCCCTTCTCCTCTTGCCTTCACACTTTCCCAACATCAAGGTCTTTTCCAAGGAGAAAACCAAGGAGAGACTACCAGTCCTCTAATCCCTTGTGGCTCCCTTGACAGCTAGTTCCACCCATTTCCTTTTCCTCCAAGCAAACAATGGCAGCTCGAGACTGAGACTTGCCAATATGCATATGTGGATACCGAAATTCCTCTGAGGACATGGTTTTTTTGCCTGCAGCTCCCAGAAATTGCTAGTAATTTCTGGGGTATGTGAATACCGATATTCCTCTGAGGACATGTTTTTTTTTTTTTTTGCCTGCAGCTCCCAGAAATTGCTAGTAATTTCTGGGACTTGCAGTCTAAAAATGCTGAAAGTCCCATTCGTGTTCTTAACCACTTCCTGTAATGCTTCAGTCATGGCCAGAAAGTGTGTGCAGAAGACTTTACTGATGTGCATACAGTGACTTCCATGATTTGAGAGAGATGCAGGATCTTCCCCTTTTTAACCATGAAATTCTAAATACTTACTTTTGGTCCCCAGTCGTCGAATCTCTTCGACTAAAAGGCTGATTTCATGTTCAATGTTCATTACTGCCTATAAACAAATAATTATTTAATTATATACGTACTTTCCTATACACGCCACATCAACGGGTATCATAAAGATTAATTTATTTACACATTAATAAGGAGAAAGTGGGTGGATTGCAAGCATTTTCTTCCAACTTTCACAGAGACTAGCCATTGTTTAATTTGTAAATTGGTCTGCTTGTTTGAAATCAGATCTGCTGCAGAGAAAATCTGAAAAGGAGATCTGATACACAAATATTTAACAATGGACCCCTAGTTTTTAAAATGACACCAAGTCAGTAAAAATAACAATGGCTGTGGTATACTGAGGAACAAGATAACTATCAGCTTACTCTTCATATAATACTTCTATTGACTATGCAAAAATATTCACAAAAGTGTGTAGATTTTATATAAGAATTGGTTGGATGCACATAAAATATTTGTTTTCTACAATGTGATACAAATATATCTGCTCTTCTTTTCATTTTGCTTATGTTTGTTGAACAGTTAGAAATATGTAAGGATCTTTTTTCCCCTTTATTCATTTACCACTTTCTATGGTTCTTGATAGTATTTTTGTAAAATAATAATTTTCTGTATTTTACCCTGTATACAGAACCTGCAACCCTCCAGATGTTGTTTGTTTCCAGTTTCCAACAGACCCTGCTAACCTGGCTAGTATTGAGGAATGCTGGCAACAATAGCTCATAAACATCTGGAAGCCCACAGGCTTCCCCATTCCTCTCTGGTTGCTCCATGTCTACTCCCTGCCATGAAAGCATCCATGTTAGATCTTAATATGCAGGACAAGTACAAAAAAGAAAAGATGGCGGGATAATCCATCCAGTAGTCAAGTCCTAAGTCATGTAGTGTAATATTAGCTGATGTAACTCCATCAGAATTGATGTCATTTGTTTCCAAGTCCCAGTTCATAGCCTAATATGACATTTGGTACCATTTGTAGTTTCTGGAACAATCTCAGAGGCTGCCCCTTATAATCTAGAGATTACCAATGCATGGATCACTTTAGCTAGGCTATCAACGTTCAAAAACAACAGGAACAGGCATAACAAATGAAGCTGATTGGGAAAGATACCATTGTGTTGTAGAGCTCAAAAGAATGTGATAAAATGTTCTACCTTGTTGCTGAACATGTCACGGTCTCTCAACTGGTGTGCATTGGATTACAGAGGATTGACCATGCATAACACTATGGCCTGCTTACACATTAAGCCTGCCCTGCTTAGGGTTAACATTTGAATAGGGCCAGTGACATTATTAATTTAATATTAAACACATTAGAAACTGTTCAGAAATTGAGAATAAATAAAGATTATTCCCTAGTTATCATGGCTATTGCAAAACACAAAACAAAAACTAAAAATGAAAGTTTTTGTTTTGTTTTGTGTTTTGTAATAGCCATGATAACTAGGGAATAATCTTTATTTTCAGAGAAAAGCAAATATATAATCATACCAGTCTACAGTACGTATATGTACCTACTAAGCTTCACTGAATCCAACTGGACTTACTTGTAGCTGAGTGTGCATAAAATTGTGGCCTAAAACTGCTGGTCCCAGATTTACAGTTGTGATACTAAAAACACCATAGAAAAAATATATTCCCTGTCGCAAACAGGAGCACTTAAAATAGCAGAGATGCGGCTTGGAATGGGAGTTGCTTAAATCTATTCAGGCGTTATTCCAGATACTAGAAACCATACGTTAATTTTGGATTCTAATACATATTAGCAAATGTGAGTATGGACCATATGTAATTCAGGATGCTGTTACTTCTCCCCACATGACTAGTCATGGGAAATCTGTTCTTCGTCTTCATCATCATCATCATGGGCCATCAAATCAATTCTGGCTTACGGTGACTTTTTTCAGGGTTTTCCAGGTAGAGAATACTCAGAAGTGGTTTGCCATTCCCTTCTTTTGGGGGTGCTCTGGGACTGTCTTACTACTTGCTCAGCTTGCTCAAGGACACACAGGCCTGGCTCTTCTCCCAGGAGGCAATGTGTGGACTCCAGCTCCCAGCCTCTGGCTCTGCAGCCAGTGGAGGGCCTGTCCAGACTGGCCATTTTGGGTGTGAGGTGGATTGGGTTACAAAGGGGCTGTAGAAGTTGGGAAGAGGACCTAGCAGAAAGCTGTTAAAGGTGAACATGTTCCTGTTGAATTTTCCAGATCATACTACATATTTGTGGAAGACAAAGAGAACTGGTGTTTAAAAGAATGTATTCAAAGCTGGTGAGCACATTCTTTTGGAGGTGGGCGAGTTTGCTACAGTTTATGTGTGAAGGAGAAGGAAAAGGGTGTGATGAGTAATTTCCTTCCTGGTGTTGCTAAACACAGCCCAGTTTGGTCATGGGAGCCTCAGCGAACCAAAGAGTTTCCATAAGCTCCTATCGGCCACTACTGGCTCCTTTATGTGGGCTTCCTCGCCTTCTTCCTTGGAACCCATCATCCCCGCTCTCTACATCCCCTTCACCAGGACTGACACAGCAGCTCTCGTGTTCTGTTAAGAACTCCCACACGCCACACGTTTCCGCTGCACTCGAGAGAACGACAGTTGGGGGGGGGAGGGGAGAGGCAACCTCGTGTCAGGAAAGCAACCAGGCAGCCTGTGCCGGCAGTCGCAGAGAGGACGAGCCGGAGGGCGAGCAAGCGTGAACTGCTGGCGTGGGAGCCGTGAGCAGACCGTTGCAGCCGAAGGGAGGAAAAAAAGCCACCGTCACAATCACCCAGCCGGGCGAGCGAGGAAAGAAGGCTGTTTTCTTTTCACTCAGACTTCGATCCCAGCAAGCAGGCATAGGCTGAGAGAGGAACTCTCCAGCCGGATTTTATGCAAGCCATGATTTTTAAATAGAGGACCAACCCGGTGCAATGTTGACGCGAAGCCCCACGAACGATGTCTGGCACACAACCGCCTTCGCCCGCCTACGGACACCCACCTGGAACAACCCCCTCCCTCCGAGGGCGCCTCCCCCCCCACATGTGGCCGTGAGGTGCCTTCCCATGACCGGGTCCACGAGCCTCCCTCGCGACTCCTCTAGCAACAAACAGAGAAGGGTCGCAACACGCCGCCGCTGCCACCAGCATCAAGGCTATTACCACCATCCCTACCAGCCTGGTTGATTGGTTGCTCTGAAGGCGCTTCAGGCGAAGGGGGGTCCCCAGGGCTGCGCCTGTGATCTTAGCACCCCAATGGATTATCACCTTCCCCGCCGTCCATTTGGCGCTGGGTCACACGGCGCGGAAGGGCTGGATTGCCACCACTTCCTTTCGTGGCAGTCGGGGGGGGGGGTTTGAAGGGTGGGCAATGAGCCCTTCCGTCCCGCCACCCCCACCTCCAAAAAATAAAATAAAATAAATCACGGGCTAAAATCGCCAGAGTCGGACCTCGGGAGCACCGGGCCAGCCCTTAAACAGCCGGCTCGAAATCCACACGCCCGGCTCCAGCCCACCTTCCTTCCCTGTGCCGGCTCGCAAAGGCACCGGGTCTCGCCACCGGCGGCATGGCACACACACACACACAC